TGAAGACCCATTTGGATAACATATCTGACAAAGCCAATTCCAATCAGGTTTCACTTTTGTGAGGGGGTTGTTAATATGGTTCCTGTGCTGCTCCCATGTTTCAAGAAAATGACTTCAAAAGGAATCTGTCTCTTCAGTCAATCATTTGCATCGATATCTCAATGCTTCAATTCATTAATGCATCATGGCTTGCATGCTTGTCACTTCATGGCTATTTGCGAGACGTTGCTGTATGCAAATTGGCTGCCACATATGCCCACAAGAGACTCGGTCACTACACTTTACAGTAATATTCTGTGAAGCGCTTTGAAGCATCCTCCCATTTTGATAAAAGCGTTTATCAGATAAAAAAACCCTTCCATTGAAATAATAATAATCCTTGCATTAGATATAGCGCTTTATCACATTGTTGAGACATCCCAAAGCACTTCGCAGAATATAGTGTAAAGTGTGTTTTGTGGGTGAAATAACATCTTTCACATTGGGAGAACAACAAGGATTATTATTGTTATACTGTTGACTTGGATACAAGTCGATACAAATGGTAGGCAAAAACTTTTTGGACCATCCCATCAGCTGCCACATCTACCAATGCGCATGACTTTTGTATGTCAAAAGTCACGATGCATAAATGTCGGCATATGATGCAGCCAAAGTGAAAGCACACACCATTTCAGCTTTCAGTGTTGATCCCGGGTTACAGTGCAGGTCTCACTCTGAGCAGTGCTTCAATTTACTGCCTGATCCGAGGTCAAATTCACACTAATCTTTCGCTCGCCTGGTAACAATCACTTTCTTTTTAATGCCAGTATCAAAAATATGTGCAATTGACAAAACAAAATACTCCTGTCTTTTTTACTTTGCAAGAGCTTGAAGGAAATAACATTTTAGTTGCTCCCATTAATTACCAACTGTTCTAGTATATTTAAAACGAGAAATGGGATTTACAATTCAATCCCTTTAGTGCTAATTGGCTGTTTCTTGGCATTTTATTTGTTCATTTGTATTCATTATGTGTTTTGATGGGTCTTGTCCTCCTCAGAAATTCAGTTCATTGAAATGGAGGGAGGGCTTACTGACCTCGGGTTGGAATGATCATTTCAACATAATTGTTTCAGTCTGAGGTCGGTGAGTTCTCTCCCCATATGAATTCTTGTCAACCATCCACCTTCCTAATTGACATTCCATTAAAAATAGCAGGGGGAAATAAAAAGAGAGTTTAAGCCTCAATTTAAATAGAAGAATCCACTTTATTCTACTTTGTACTGTAAGTCTGCTCTCCTTGGCAGCTGTAACAAACTCGCCATGTCCTTGTGTTCACTGATGGGCAGTTAGTTAGTGGGATTTAGTTCTGTTGCAAGCATGACAGATCCACCTCAAACAAGTTGGTTCCCTATCAACCAGCATTGTTAATCTTCTTTAAAGTTTAAAGTTAGCTGTGTAACTAACTACATTCGTTTTTCATGCTTTAACTGGAAGATATTGTCTTTTTGTTTTGTGCTCCTGTTATAGTTCACATAGTTATTCTACAGAGTGAACATGGATCACTCTGAATTCCCACTTATAATCCTGGATTTGGTATATAGCGAACCAACAAGGTTTTCTCTGGAACTGCTAAGAGTATTGAAAATTTCATATTATTTATATCGAGCTTTGTATCATGAAGATAAAAGTCCCTGTAAAGAGAGGCTAAGGAAGGATAAGCATAAATATAACATTCAAAATCCAAGTTTAATGCCCATCTAAACCTGAGCTTTGTTTAGCTTTGGCTCAGATTGTATTTTTGTAAGTGGCAAAATGGAAACTTGAAACCGAGTCAAACGTACATGTTACCATTGAGCTGGAAGAGGGGGAACAATTTTTAAACAGTTTGAATTTAGTCTAGATTAGATGTAAAGCCATCCCTATGGTAAAGGAGAGGCTGTGGAGAGGGGAACGTGGGGGTGGGGGTAGAGAGGTGGGGGAAGAACAGCATAGTGTTCTCTTATTGAGTTTTTCATTGATGAAATATCTATTCCGTAGAGATTTTCCTGCAGATCTGAGTGTGCTATTTCAGGCTTGTACCGATTACATTTAACCACTTGAAGGGCTTGACACTGTATAAAGGTCTGAATAAACTTGCCTTTAATCTGGCATGAATCCAAACCAAAGCTTGCCTGTGTTTCGTTTCGCAGCACCAATTACTTATTTCCACTACATTCGGTTGAAGTTAAATGAATACAGATTGCAATAAAAATCTTAAAATTAGCAAATGAAAGAGAATTTTAAAGACAAGTTCACCAAGAAACAAAACATATTGGGACTGCAAGAAAATGGCTAAGATTAAACTCACTTCACAATAATGTGTTATCATAATAATACAATAAAACTCACAAATTGTATCAGTCAGGATAATAACGTTTAATATGACTTACATGTTAGTCAGAGTTGACGGAAAACTGTATAAATCGTAGAAAATCCGATTTAATCAATAATCTAGATTCCGCATGAGTAATTTAATGTAGCTGATAAGTAGACATGCGGTGATGGGTTAAGACTATATTTCCTGTGTCTTCATCCGTCACTGCATGCGCACTTACCAGCAAAAGCAGGAAATGAAGTCCTTCTGCGCATATGTCGACGGACGAAGACTACGTTTCCTGAGATTCAGTGTGGCTGATCGATGAGTGCACATGTGTCGATATGCAAGTACGTCATTTCTGCGATTGCAGGAGTAATGGAAGGTAGGGGGGCAGCTGTATGAGTTAGGAGGTGATTAATACAAGTATTGTAAAGAAATCTAAGTAGTTTTGATAGGAAACTGAATGGGCCTTGGATAAATGAACTACTTAAGCATTTATAAAGATTATTATAATAATAATCCTTGCATTTGATATCATGCCTTACCATGTTATCGATGAGTCTCAAAGTGCTTCACAGGATTTTACTGTAAAGTGCAGTGACCGTATATTTGAAAGTGAACATAAATTATTAGAGCTAATCCATATCGGTATTTATACGCCACGAGAGCCTCCACCCATTCCTCTCTATTTCCTTTTCCTTCACATAAGCATTGAGTTTCCTCTTAAATTCATTGACGCTTGCTACAGTCCTGTTTTTATTTGTATGTTAAGCTTACGTTTTCCTGGTTAGGCTAGAACTGAATTTGTACAATAATACTCCACTATGTCACTGCATTATCACTTTTCGATCGCTTTTTGTGTGAAAGTACAGCCCTCCTCCCCTTTCCTATTTTCTCCTCTGGTCTGCCCCAGGCCACAGAAACCTCAGGCAGATGACTTGCTCTTGTGCTTTTCCCAGATCTACTCTGAAGCAGCTTCTGGAAGGGACATGGGAGTGACCTGTTAGCAATGCTTTTTTCAGGTATTCCCCCTCCTTACACAGACTGGAGCTTCGCTCGGTGTCCTGGCCAACAATCCCTCAACAAAATTGGCTGTTATGTGGAAATTGCTGCGCGCAAATTAGCTGTCATGTTCGCCCATAAAACACATAGTCAAAACACTTTAAGTTTACAGTATATCTGGTGAAGGGCTTTGAGACATTTTCCGGTCATGCTATACCAAATAATAATAATAATCCTTACATTTGATATAGCGCCTTATCGTATCTTCGAGACGTCTCAAAGCGCTTCACAAAATATACTGTAAAGTGAATTGACTGTATATTTTGTGGGCAAATCATGGCATCCAATTGCGCATAGCAGTGTCCCACAAACAGTCGTAGATTGAGTGATCAGTTTATTATTATTCATTTTTGAAGGAATTATTACCCCCGGAAAAGCGATCCACCAATCGACTAACAACCAGATTCCTACTTATTGCTAGGTAAACAGAGGCATGTGGAGTAAGGCCACTTGCCCAACATTTTGCCCTGCTAGGATTCGAACCCAGGTCTCTCACTTGCGAGGCGATACTCTGTCCACTGAGCTATAGGCTGTAAGGACTTTTTTGTAAGGATTATTATTATTTATTATTATTCAGGATTTGGCTTTCTGGTTTTCCATAGTTATTGGGCTGAGATCGAGCAACTCAATTATATGGGATATCAGATTGAACTAAGCAGGAAAGGACTATGATTGAATTGTTGATTGTACTGTTCAGAGATTGTGGATCCTGCACAGTGTTGTGTATTTCAGGATTCCAATATGTACTTGTATTTTTCCTTTACGTTACAGTCATTATTAGATAATAACCAAAAACATGTTAATAAAAAATAATAATCCTTGCATTTGATATAGCATCTTTCACATCAGTAGAATGTCCCAAAACGCTTTGCAGGATTTTACTGTAAAGTATAGCGACTCTGTGTTTGAATGTCAATAATAATGCTTGAGAAAGGAAATATCATGACCTTAAAGAGAACATTCGGAACTTGATTTCTGAAAGTAATCTGCACTTTTGTGCTTCCATCTTGTGGAATGATCCTGTTATTTTCTTGGTTGGTGGGTATGTTGGTGATACTGCAACATAGTTTCATTGCTTAATTAAGCTGAAAATCTCTTGCTTTACACTGCAAAAAGGTCCTTTGTTGCAATTGGCACAACTGTTTATAGTTGGGAAAAATGTCCATTCTCAGCTGGGAAACATCCAAATCTTGGCAGGGAACGTAGTTTTTTGTAACGTTACTTGAACTCTCTGGGAAATGTCTGATTCAAGTGAATAACCTATTGGGGGCTCTGATGACATGACAGAATAAGAAAAATGAATGAGACTTATTATGAGGATTCTACAGACTGAGGAATTCATATGTGCAACATTTTACTGCTTCCAATCTTTCTGTCAAATTGCAATCCATATGGTAATGATTATCATAATCCATGTTATTATAACCAAATTTTGTTAATATTTTTTAAAAATCCACAAAATCGTTACCAGTTATAGATCTTTTGAGGTTCCCTGGTAATTATTAAGCAAGTCACGATGTAAGAAATAATCGCCAATATGAAGGAGAAGATAAACTATCCCATTAAATTATTATTATAATTTGGCAAGTGAATGCATTTTCCAATACTTACAACCATTAAAAACAAGCTTTGACAGAAAGTATTTTATGACATAGGCACGTTCTTCTGTATTAAAAACTGCAGCTACACAGATCTTCAAGACAGAGACTTTATTATTAGGAAAACGCAAGCCTACTCATTCATACCTGTGGTTGGCTGTGTGTGTGTTTGTGTGTGTGTGTGCGGTGTGCGTGTGAAGTCAGGGCCAGGCTGTTTCTTTTCAATACCCCACTGCAATTTAAAAACTTAAGATGTAAGATTTTCCTCGTCTGAGAAACAGATGGCCATTGCTCTGAGCGTCCTTCTGCAAAATTGGCTGGAATCAATAACTCGCTATGATGGCAACCACTGGCACAAACGTACAACCAACCATCATGGGTAGGGGTTGCAGTCCTGAATTTCAGTAGCACCATTACCGGGATTGCAAGCCCTAATTGCGGGCCACAAAAGCTCCAGCTCGGTGATGCCATGCAAACTCGTACCATTTGCTTTGAAAGATGTAAGCCTTTCTCAAGGAAAGTTTTTCTCAAGGCTCTTTGATAACTCGGCAATCAGCTACCTGCACAAGGATATTACCGATTGAGCCAAGGATATTATGTCAGCGTCCATCACACCTGCTGGCAGAATCAAAAACATCGTTCAAGCTTTAAGCCAAACCTAAGAAAGAAATCAAAAATAAAATGCACTTTACAAGTTCCTACTGAAGGATCTGCTGCAGTGCAAACTAAGCCCAGAACCTTGAAATTTGGACTTTCAGCAGAGTTTCAATCCTGGGCTATTCTTGTCTTCCCAGCTATTTAGCCTGCTAGGAAATTCCCCTGTGCAGAGACAATGCCACTTTAATGCAACCACCAGTAAAAACAGATAAATCACGTGGAAAGTAAGATATGGACAGCGTTTGCTGATTATAGTGAAACACACAAGGAAACGAACAGCATTAATGCTGACTGACATTTTAATTCTTACAGGCAAAATAGTTTACACTACTGAAAAATCAGAAAATTATTGTTTCTGACCACTAAAGGTTACAGTAGAGACAATGAGTAATGCAATAGTTATAGAAGTCACCCTGATGAAAGATTATTGGAAGTAGGTGTTGGGTAAAATTACTTCACAAATACTCACCGCGTTTTGCAATCCAGCTATCTGACATCCTCTGGAATCCATAGTAAATTAAATGTTGCAATTACTTAATCTGTCTTGTTTTACCCAGCTCCTCTGGGTCTGTCTGGGCACAAGAGCAGGTTTTGTACGCCTTTAGGTATTGAACCACTCTGTTATCCAAGTGTCATTTCAAATTGGCCATAAATGCCTTTAATCTCATCAACACCTTGGCTCCAACACAGACAAAGGGGATGAGGGTGTCTTTCTTTGCGGTAAATGGAAAAGGTTTTCAAAACTGTGGCTTCCACTGTTGTTGGTCACTATTTGTGGATGAATCAAAAAAAATACAGGGTTTATTTTGCATGCAGTATGTCTTAGACTTTAAAAATGATCTGAGGTAGGCTCAATTTTCACCCTTTTTTTAAAAAAAATGAACACAGTGTAAAAGCATAATAAATATATAACAAAAGAAAGTGATAAATATCAACCATGAAGCCGACTGTTTTAAAGGATGGCTGCTTTTTCATCCTTTTTTTAATGGCATGCTTGGTAGTACATAATGAGCTGCTAAGGGAGTAAACGTGAATTCCCTCCCTTATACATCATTTGATATATTTGAATTTCCCTTATCTATTTAGATAACCCTATTTTATCATTTATTATTATTATTATTTTTCCTATGGAGACATCCAGAGATAATGCAATTAAAGAAAAGGTGACAGTTTTAGCACTTCTCAGAAGGCAGCATTTAATGTTAACAAAACAAAATGGATGAATGTCAGTTTAATATTGCAGAGAGATTAAAGTCTGCATTCCAATCATTGTAAACAATTCGTAAGTAATACGAAATGCGCAGAGCACATGTGCATTTCTTAACAACAAAAAAGCTAATATAGTCATTAATAATGAATATATGATGTATCAATTTTTTCTGGTTGGCCAGGTGTCTGACACATACGGAAACTTATTGCCATGTTGCATCAGCAAGACAAAGATTATGATAACTTCAGTCTTAAATCATTAGGTTTTGTGTTTTATTATTTATACTGAAAGTGGTGGCTCTTTCCACTGTACTTGGTATTTAAACTTGTGGCTTTTTATGAAAGTTGTTTCCATCTAAAATGGATTTGTACGTACGAAAGCTTTTCGGGTGTTGAAGAAGAATCTAGAGTTAAGAAATTGATTAGATGGTGGAGGCCACTAATTATAGGATTTGAAACTGCAAGACATTTAAGTGCAACATTAATTACTTGTTCAAATGGGTAATTTACAAGTAGACTTGTTGCTGGGTTATATTAGTTTGAACATCCTTGAAACCCTTGACCAGATCATCAAAACAGAAGAGTAGCCTTTTCCTAAATACCTACAGAATTCTTCAGGAGAATCTGCCAGGATGTTAATGAATGTTACTATCCTGAGCTACAAAAAGCACATTGCAGATGTCAGAGATTCTTTCAGTTTTCCTGGGTTTGGACTTATATGCGATACTGCTGTTGGTTGGAGAATAGATTTCAACAAATAGGGTTTTAAGATGTACCCAATGCCATCTAACAGTGATTCCTTGAGAGTTGGATCCATTTAAATCAAAGATTGAGCCAGATTGAAAGAGATGCAACAGAATTGTAAGTTCAGTCCAGTGTTTGTATGTATGTATGTATGTATGTATGTATGTATGTATGTGTGTGTGTGTGTGTGTGTGTGTGTGTGTGTGTATGTATGTATGAGGTGTTTTAACATTGTAAATCAGTTGAGTGTATATTGAGCATTCTCATATATGGCTATAAAGGATGAGCTTATTTAAAGAAGGTGCTTGTGGCTTCATGAGTGTACGATATATGGCCCGCAGGACCCCTAGAAAAATCTCAAAAGGATATAATTGCTTTTTGGATTGCTCTCAGTGCTTTGGGGTCACAGTGAAGCAGAAATGATGATCTGCCTGACTGACCAAAGCAGCCATGACTTGACTAATGGCGCCACACTTGGCAGACTGGCTGATGTTTGCAAAATCCCCGATGGATGCTTGAAACAAACCAGTGGCATCATCACTGAGCACTATGGTTACTTTGCCGCACTCAGAATCAGCAGTAAAACCAAACTCACCTTGTGGATCCACCTGCAGATGCTAACTGTTGTGCATTGTTTCTTAGAAATGATCCTGAAGAATCCTTTACTCACAGGTTCTCTTCTTTCCCTCCCTAGTCTCTATTTTCTTTCTTTATTGCATTCTTATGGGTTTGTGATTCTCCTTTTAATTACTCTGCTTGAGTTAGCCTTTGCGGTGTTCAGGTTGTGTGCTAATCAGTTTTGGTAAACAGGTTGAAATAATTTTACCAAAATGGAGCTATAAAATGGCATTGCACTGCCTTTGTTTGCGCGTTTAAAGGAAAAAAATTCTAACCTCTGTTTCAGATCTGTACCTCTGGCCAATTTGTATTGTACAAAACAAAATGCATTTTATAGAGTTTAGGAAACTATAAAATGCTTTATCATTCTTTAAGATGATGGGAATAATATAACTTTCCGGTTAACACTGAATCAGAAGGAATAACATACAGAGATGATCTTGACCAGGGCCTCTTAAAGACATTTTAAACCTTTCAGCCACCTGTACCCACAGTGATAGTCTTGTATAATTCCTTGGCAACCATGTTAACCTTTCACAGCTGTAAAGTGTATTGATCCAACTCCCACGCACTGCACCCTTCAGCAGCCAGATAAGAAAATCAACATTGCCAACATTGGTTCATAGCTAACAATGCCTCTATTTGCCAACACCTTGTGTACAGTATATCAAACCACCACTATTATCAAGCTGGCAGATCATACAATTATATGCGTTCCCATGGCACTGAAAATCCTGTTATGACCTTCTTCATGTTTTACACGTCACTTTGAGTTCTGAATTGTTTGCATAAAATATGACATAATGATCCCAGGGAAATTAACACTATGATTCAACACAAATAAGAATTAACACACATAGTGGTTTATTAAGTTGCTGCAAAGTCAGAGTGCTACAAAGTATCTGCTTACAGTCAACTGAAGTCAATTATTGCTCATTTCGTTGTGTAGTGGGGGGTGGGGAAGGGAAGTCTTGTTTATTGGAGCAGCGTCTTATCCATTTCACCATGTTACCAAACGTAATAAAAGATAATACTCAATCTTGCCCTTTAAGAGAAATTCTAGTGAGATTTTTGGAATTCATTTCAATAACATTGGTGACATTTGCGCAAGATCCGATTCTCCTCTGACAAGATTATTTCTGAGACATCATCATATATTAATATGATCTCGGAAAAAGAGTGTTGGACATGATAATGAACGTGATTAGTCTTGTTGCCGCAAAACTGTACTTCTCAACCTCTTCACTGGGCAATGTGTGAACAATGTGGGATTAATAGCTCCAAATGAGGGGTGATCTTTTGGTTCATATGTCTGCATTTTCCTAATTTTTTTAGTTTGTCCTTTGCCAATTTTTCCTTTCCTCCTCCTCCTCCTCCTCCTTTGGGCATTTTTAACACATTTTTTCCTTCTTCTAGTTTATGGTTTCATGATCGCTCTCTTGAACTAAACATACAAGATACACGATGACTCCACTTCACAGTGTATCCTGTGAAACGCTTTGAGATGTTCTCCTCACATGAACAATGCTTTATCGAATGTAAGGATGATTTTTGTTATTTATTATTGTTGATATGTGAGTCGGGATAGTGAATGTTTCAGATTATTCAACCAAGTGGACATTATAGCTGCCCTGATTTTGCCCTTACCTGATGACATCCACGCAGCTGCATCAAAGGTCCACAGTCAGGAGCATGAACCCTGATCATTTTCCTTCTTCTCTATGTCAAGGCAGTGATGCCATATCATACTTCTCTGCCAGCAGAGATTACCTCATGCAGCACAGAGCAGGGAATCAAAGTTGGGACTTTCTCAGTCTGTATGTCTTAGCTCCCAAGGGATAATCTCACTGAGACAACCTGATCGTATTTAAAGACTTATTTACAGGACTTTTTTTTTAACATGATATTCCCTGGCTAATGTGAAACAAATTTCAGCGGAGATCCTGAATGTGAAATGTTTCACAAAATGTGATGTGTTGACAAAGAATGGGCGGTACCACAAATTTTTGAAATACCAGTGGCCAGAAAGGATAAAAGGAAAAATCGGACATGACTTTTTAACTCAAATAGAATTGAGATGACAAGAATTCCAAATTTTAGATGGGGATTCAAAAGGAAGGTGGTGGTGGTTCAAATCCATTAAACCATCAGTATTAAGCTACACATTTACAATGTTGATCCATCCCCCCCCACTTTTTCCTTTCATGACTCTACTTACAACTGGGAGCCACTCCATTAACCTCAGCAACAAGAACCATTGGAGACATCGCATTGTCTTGCATTTGAGATGGTCCTATAGGCTGATTGTGAAACAGCACACACAGGAGATGAGGATTTTTTAAAATAATTGGTAGCAACTTTAATGCATCAACATTTAGAAAATGAGCGTTAGAAACGTATAAACAAATAGAGTCATCTAATTGGAAGTGAATTAGCTTATAGAACATATTGGTTACAGCAAGAAAAGCGTCTTTTGTGAAATTGTTCAAAACATCACCGCATTCATGCTCTACAAGTCTTAGCCAAAATGGTCACAAGATCACAAAAGAGATTCAGATGAAGAAAGCCTTTTGGCCCATTTTTAACCTCATCCTTTCAAAATCCCCACCCTGGCATCACTGCATCAAGCTGTTTTTTTAACGTCCACTCTGTTCCAGTTGTTGATTACTCCCTGGGTAAAAAAAATACTTCCTGGTGTCACCCCCGAAATTAGCCTGTGCTGCCCTAAACCTATGTCTTCTTGTCACATCATGATTTCACAAAGAAACTCACAAGGCCATTTTTTGTAGGCAACTTCACTTAATCATTCTACTGTACTTTTACAGACAACAAAGCACCAAATGCAATATTCTGAATACTATATTTGTTTATCCACGGCACTGCAATTCTTTTGATTTATTTGAGAATTAGCCACGTTATCATAACTGGATAGCCTTTTGAGGACTAAGGATTTTTCTTTTAAAATCACATTCCAAAATAAGATGATTATTTTAATCCTTCAAACCAGAAAATAAGATTCCTCTAATTCTCCAGTTCTTTCATAGTGATCGTTAGAGATGTCAGTTGAGTCATTTGATAAATGTTTACAGCGAAAGATGTGAAAACAGTACAACCCTGTTATAATGTGGGTTCACTTATATGGGTCTGGACCCTGACACTTACTTGCCAAAAAATCCCAAATGTGTCCAGCAAGCCAGCCGGCTCACTTCAAATTGTATTGGCTTGCTTCGAACTGCTGGCACTAAAAATGTAACAGACATCTCAGTTATCAGGGTGCCAGCTATGCACTTGCAGCGCACTGGAAGTGGTGTTGCTGGCAACCTGATGATCTGGGCCAATAGAAAAGTCCGGTATCACTTTTGCAGCGGAATCCGCTACAAACGCCCTCCTCCGCTACAAACCTGCTACCAAATGTAGTTTCTGACCCGCGGCTTCCCGGCTGTTTACCTGACATCACTGTGGGCGGGCACAGCTCTGGACGTGCATGCCTGGTGTGGCGCAAGTGGCAAATGGGCTTCAATCAGAGGCCCGGCTGTTGTGATTGTCTGTGTGTGTCTCTCTGTGTGTCTCTGTGTGTCTCTGTGTATGATTGTCTGTGTGTATAGGTCTCCATATGCATTTGTGAGTGTCTGTGTGAGTATGTCTGCGTCTCCCTCTCCTCTGTGTGTTTGTGGATGTGTGCGTGTCTCTATGTGTTTGTGAGGGTCTCCATGTGAGTGTGCGTTTCTCTCTTAGAATGTGTGCCTCTCTGTGTCTCTGAGTGTGTGTCTGTGTCTCTCGGGGTCTGTGTGCGGTGTCGGTCCTGAGAGGCAGGAGGGGGTGAGCTCCTGTAGCCTCGCTGGTGCCGCCCTCCCCCCACCAAAAAAGGCCACCCAATTTCTGCTAAATAAGCAATTAATATTGTTTCTGCAATAATCTAATATGTGTTATTTCCTCATGTTTAGTTTTTATCAATAAAGTGAAAAAATGTAGGTTGGCAGTAAAATGTACCTCAATAGTACCAATCAACTTCCTGCCATTTTCTGCAAAATGTGTCAAAAATAGCCCGGCAAATTTGCACAGGATTGGCAAATCTCTACGCAATTTTTGGGCAAACATTTCTGCACTTTTCTATTGGCCCAGCTGATGACCCAAATGTCAGTAGTCAGCTGGCTGGTGGACAGGAAGCCTCCTGGCTTCAATTCGGAAGCACTCACCAGCAATCATGCCCCTTTCGATAGCCGGTTGGGATAGTTTAGAGATTCTCCAATGCGTTGTGTTTTGATAGGGTTCTTCTGTATTTTGAAACTCAAGATACTTCAGTATTCAAAGCATTTGCAGTCCTTTGAACCAGTTCTTTCATAAATGCAATGATTGTTTTTCTCTATCCCGCACAATTAATAGCAGTATCATCACCATGAAATAAAATCAATCCTTTTTCACAGGATCGCTACTACTTTCTTCTTGAAAGTACAACCAATACAGTGAAAACAGGTAAAGTGTAAAGCACACTATGAAATCATAATGGTACATAGTGACAAGAAGCACAACAAAAAATACAGAATAACAGACTTTCCGTACCATGTGTTTTAAAACCAAATCATCTGCAAAAGGCTCACTCTGAAGCCATGATCCCTGATTCTTAACATCAACATTCAAAGGTTCACCTGCCTGCTCATTTTCACACATTTTTTCATTAAAACCTTCTGGTTCTAATGGAGAAATGTTAGTAGTGTCATCGTCGTCAATTTCATTATCATTGTCCTCTTCGATGGGTGCACTTACCAATATTACTGGACCTCTGCGTTTGCGATTGGAGCTGGGCTCAGAGCTGTGTCTTTTCTGCACATTATTTTTCTTGCCTTCTGAAATGCTTGAAGATGATGCGGTTGGGTCCAGCGTCACATTATTTGTAGGCCTAACCACCTCTTGCCCACTCCCCTCGTTCACTTCCATCTGATGATTATCTTCCCAAGCAGCTATGCTTTCAAAATGGTGAGAAACTTGTGATTCAGCAAATGTATGAATTGCTTCACCCTGATTCTCGATAGGGTCTTCAGGGCCTTCTCCAGAGTGTTGGTTACCAGTTATCTCAGGTACTGGTTCTAATGCACAGCTTGCTTCCTCTTCTGCTATCTCTGGAGGAGCAGAAACTATTTTGTTCATAGTTTCAGACTTTATGTCATTTGCAGTGTCATGTAAATATGTAAATACTTCATTCTGGGGTTCGACTCTTTCATCGTTGGGTTGTAAAATGATTTTTATATTTGGCATTTCTTCTGCACCCTTTAGATCAGACGTTAATGCTGTTTCCACTTCACTGCATTTTTTAACATCTGCTATACTATAATAATGGGATTCTTCCATATATCTCTTAACGTTCATCTGAATCTTATCCTCACAGTCCACCTTGTTATTATGCATTTTCTCTTCCGGCAGTTCTGCAGAATTGATGGTCAACTCATTTCCATCCTCTGTGTGCACATGTCTTATCTGACCATATTCCTCTATTTTAAAGTCTACTTCCTTAGAAACATCTTCAGCTATTCCTTCACAAGTATTAGTGGCTTCAGACGAGATTCCTCCTGCTCCGGCATCCAAAAGATGAGGAACTATCTTCAATGAATGTGGAACATCTTTTTTCAGGACCACTAGGGCATCAGTGATCAAGTTTTGTTTCACAGCCTGTGTATCATTGTATGCTACGACTGAATGCTTTACATCTCCCGAAAGTCCAAGTGATGTCTCTTTATCCGGAACTATTCCGGGGTAACACGACACTGCAGCAATTTCTTGCTCTTTTGTATTTTCCTCGAAATTGCTGACTGTATTCTTTACCGTCTCCTCACCTCCTGCGATAGCTTCAGCACTTAGTAAGTTTTTATGTTCAGAAAATTGTGGATTGCACTTCATGGTTTGTTCATGAATAACATTGATTTTGGAAGGTTTTTTATGATTTGGTATCAACTCAAAAGTTGAGGTCTCCTCCTGTACAGATTCTGAAAACATTGCAATGTTTGGAGAAAATTGTGTGGCTGTGCATTCTTGTGACATAGTTGTGACAGTTGTTCTCTCCTCTTTCCTAATTTCGCATAAAGCATCTTCAATTGCTTTCTTTACTATTGAATCAACTAACCCATGAGGTGGAGCATCAATGAATTGTTTCGTATTTTGAGTAGCTATAAGTGTATCTTTTTGATCGCCACCAATACGTGTATCAACCCCTAGACTTTTTACAGGCATCTCATTATTTACAGCAGAAGCTTGATATTTTTCTTCATCCTGAGGACTATCAAGTATTGTTTCTTCAATCTCTCTACATTTTTCTGCAATTTCAACCTTTAATGCATTTGCAATTTCCAGATGATTTGAAGATGGAATGTCCTCAAGACCAGTTACTATCTCTTTTGTCTCTACAGTATCTGGAGCATTGTGCACATGTTGCACCGTTTCTACCACAGTTTCTTCACAATTTAAGTGTGCATTATAAGATCGTTCTTCTTTAATAGCAGCTTTGAAAGGACTGGACATTTCTTTTTCAATCTCAAAATGAACTGCAGTAGACACCTTGTCAATCGGATCTTGCACTTCTGTCTCCTTATTTGCTAAAATTATTGGTTGTTCAGAAAAATCTAGGTTGTCCATGTCCTTTTCTTGCCTTGCATTGTCTTCATTTTCAGTTTCAGTGTAACACCAGGGTTTAATCATTCCTTGCTCACAATCTGCTTTCATTAAAACCTTTCCTCCTTCTGATGAGATTAATTGGCTGGATGATACACTGATTTTCTGTGGCTCAGACTCCAGTTGAGTACTATTGCACAATAAAGAGATGAGGGCAGACTCTGATTCATCAGTTGATGTATCACCAGTTAGATAAACAGGTTCATCACTTGCATCTTTAGCATCTGTTTTCTCATGCAGTAAATCTGTAGATTCTGATGAATTATTGGAAGGTTCACCACATCTGTCTATGTCTTCAACAGTCACCAAATTCTCCCATACATCATTAGCAGAGACATGCTGTGATTCATCATCTGATAAATGTAATAGACTGCTTATGTTTAGCATAGATTTAGTGGATGTATCAGTCACATATGATCTTAAAGCTTCTTCCCTTCTCTGAGACTGAGGAGAGTTGTCTTCATGCATTAAATGTGTTTCATTTATACAAAACAAATTAGAAGATTGGGTCATTGTGTTTTCATTGTTTGTAATAATGTTTGCACTGTTGGTTTGCACTGTTGTATTTATATGTCCCTCGTGACTCTGACTTGAGAGATTGCAAGTGCTGTCCAGAACCACTGCAGGCAACTCTGATTCTTCCCCTTGCTTTGTCTGGGCCGATATGTCATTGGTTACATCTGTGAGCTGAATGCTTTCAATCTCTTGCTGGTGAATGAGTGGTAGTCTGCTGACGGTGAGATCATGCTTCCCATTCTTCTCTTCATTCTCAGTGTGTGATCCTTCCACAAATGCCAGACTTGTTTCCTGCCCCCTCGGGTTGGTCAGTGAAATATGCAATGACTGACATATCTGTTATGGTGAAATCATCGGTGGTTAAATTTGACATCAATACGTTTAGGAATTTCATTCAAAATTCTTTCCACATATTTAAGGATAATACTGTGACGCTTTGCTAATAATAACCAAAAAGGCTACTGTTCAAAAACAGGGTGAGGGATTAACTATTTAAATTTTACTGCGAACTTATTCTGGGAACTTGAGAGTAGCTTCCAGTTTAGGAATATCACACAATTTGGGGCTCTAAGTCTGCAGTCACTAATGGAACGTACTCACTGCCCTTGTTACTGACTTTGCAAACTAAATTACATCTAGCTCCAAGCAGTGGAACGAGTACATGCTATTAATCAGATTCCCTAACTAAAGAGTTGTTAAACTTCCTCCTACTTGGTCTGGGAAGAATTACGTACGTAACCAGAAAAATCCCATCGGTTATGACATCTAATTTACAACCATTGACCAGTGAAAATACCTTGTCAGGGTATTAGTCTGAACAAATAAAGGGTGGAAGCAGGTCAAAATAACAATTTATCCCTGAGAATTTGTGTTTTAAAACCAAACATAGTATTAAAAACTGGAAACAATCCCAATGAGACACAAGTCAAACAAAGTACAGTAATTAACTCTACCTGATCAATTGTTTGCACCTCAATTTCATTCAGGTAATTGTATGAAAAATAATATTAGTTGCCACATGATCAACCATTTCCTTGATGAAAATCTAATGCTGCGATTCTACAAATATAGAATATCTTCAAAAAAAGTTTAGTGAAATGTCCTTTGAAATGTTGAAAGAACTTGTAATAATCATTGAAACTATATAGTCAATCTCTGTTGTTCCCTTGTATTCTACCTTACTTCAACATTTTCTAAATCAGTTTACATTACACTAACTCCATTTACATTGATGACGAGTAAATGCTACATGGGCTTTGAAATGCTGCTGTTTGGTGCTTTGCATATATAAAAGGCAAATTAATGACTAAAAGCTTGAGCAGGGGGTGTGGAGGGGGTTGATGGATGAAAGCGCAGATGAAGAGATGTATTAAAAATATATTAATGTCTTCTGTTATGGAAATGTGAATTAAAAAAGGCAAAGCCTACTGTTATTGCATTATTTAATATCAGCTGAAATCCCCATTTCGAACAGCCAGGGAAATTTACATAGTTTATATTATTTATAATTTTCTGAATGTAGAAATACGTTTTAAAAAGCATTTCACGAGAAAGCCCCATTTATTTAGATACTCAAGAGTAAAAACTTTTAATTAATAGACCTTTCCTACTTTTTATATAGAATCAAATATCCACACATTTTAAGTTGTAGAGTTTGAAAGTTACCAAGTGAAAAGTATGTGATAGTATTTTATGTTTCAGCGAATAACATACTTCTTGCAAGCAATACATGCCATTTGAAATTGGAAAACAGAACACTAAGGCTAAATTTGCCATAAATGTTTGTATACAGTGTACACAGTAGATGTCCACACAGTAACAAGGGCAGAAGTAGACCTTAGGAGGATATAGGTGTTGGGTTCCTCTCTAAAGAAACTTCACACCAAAGCTTTGTCTACTTACCTGGTTGAAACTAAATCGTTTTTTTGCCCCTTCCCCCCAAAAAAACACCTGCTGTTTTTTGAAAGAAAGCTACAAATGTAGTTTCCTTTTCCATGTTTCCTTATAGCAGTGTGTGTTTGTGGAGGAAGGTGGAGGAGGGTGTTTAATTTCCAGGCTTCATAATTTGACCACAAATTTTGGGGAGATCTGCATTGAAATTTCAAAAGAATCTCAACCCCACTGGTCTAAACAAGTTCACTGGAAATAAAGTTAAGTTAAAGTGTGTGCAGAATTAGCCGAATAGTTTCAGTGGAATTAAAAATGATGAATGTCCATTTTTGCAAAAATCGGATGCACAAAATATATTTTGCAGCTTCTCATGTTTCATGTCCACCCCGGTTCTATTTCTTTTTCCGTTATTTGATTAATTTGTCACAGGAACACTTTACACATTTGTCATGGGAGGTCACATGCTGTTGCCATCTCCCATGCCCCACGTGGGTTGCTGCCTATTATTACAAGGTCTGTTGCAATCTCTTCCATGTTTCACTTAATTGGCTAGATAATAGGAAACAGACAGTAGTTATCAATAGTATTTTTTTTCTTTTCTGCCAATTTCTCTTCTCCGATTTTCTCCCCTGCATTCCCATGTGTGTGTGGGGGGGTGTTGGAATAGGATTAGACATTCTACTGATGCTGGGCATACTATGGTACCTCACTTAAGTGGCCTTTATTTTGTGTGTAAACCTTGTGTTTGATATTTCACCATTCAATTCACGACCCATCTGCAAAGTCGAGGATCAAGCAGTGAGGTGGATTTGTGGCACACACGGGAAGCAGCTACAGGAAGGGAGGGCTGCGACCTACACTGACCTGTCCGTAAGCGCCCTGGAGGTGTTGTCGGCTTCACAGCGGGCACGTCTATTTGCCGAGGCTCATCGCATGAGGATCTGGATTAAGCAACTGGTGCTGAGTAAGCCTGGTACACAGCATTGGACTTGGACCTCAAGAACGTCAAGATGGCTAGCACGTCACAAGCTGTCCTGTAAAGGTTCGCCCACCACACTGAAGGCAGATGCCCGAGGAAATTAATCTGCTATCAGCTAAACTCTGAGGCTTGGGGTGACAACTGCCGGAAGGTGTTACCTGGAGTCTGAGTGCATGAACATACTTTCGTATGTCCAGCGCCTGGAATCCACCTTGAATGTCCACACACAACATGCACACTTTCCAGCAAGAGTCTCTGGATAGCAATCAAATGTGGTTGCTATATCCTGACTGATATTTCCTCTCTATCACGGCCTGGGGTAATAATAATCCTTGCATTTGATATAGCGCTTTTCACGTCGGGAGGACGTCCCAAAGCGCTTCACAGAACACACTGTAAAGTGAATTGACTGTATATATGTGGGCGAACGCGGCAGCCAATTGCGCACAGCAATGTCCCACAAACAGTCGTGGTTTGAAAATGACCAATTTATTATTGGTTTTGGTTTTGGAAGGATTATTATTAGGCGTGTTATTAGGTAGGGGTGAACATGGCACCTTTTGCTGAATGGAGCAGTGGAGCACTTTGTGGCTGGCTTCTTTGCTAACTTTCTCAGCTGAAAGTGGTAACATCTTCTGAACAAGCATATGTCATCAAAATGGACTGAAATACAGTCAAAGGAAAAGGAATTATTCCGATTGATGAGGCACAAATGAATATGTCTTACCTGTGTGTCTGGCTGCTGTTTATTTTTTGTTTTGCCTTCTGTGTTTTCGTCAAACAGGATTTCACTATTCCATTTTTTGAATGTATTCATTTCCAAATCCATCCATCCTTCCTCTTGTTGATCTGTGGAAACAACAGCTTGCACTTAAATTGCATATTTCACATAGGAAAGTGCCTCAAAGCATTTAAAATGGACGATGTGGGACACTGAGATGGAAGTGGTTGGGTGGGGGGGTGGGGGTAGGTAAAGCATAGTAAAAGAGGTGGAATTTTAGAAGCATATTGAAGCCAATGACAGAAGATGTGAGGTAAAGAGAGGGAGTTCCAGAGTGGGCACAGATAGGGGAGGAGAGACATGCAGCAGGCCCAAGTTAGTGGAGCGCAGGCAGGAAATAAAGAGGCAACATTAATTGTTTGTCTTTAGAGTGGTGAGTCAAACCTGCTTAAAATAGTCATTTTATCATGTTTGTTCATACCTTCTGTGTTCGGTTGTGTCCCAAGGTTGATATCCAAAGTTGATTCGAAGGACTCTTTGCTGTATATTTAAAAAAAACATAAAGTAACATGTAAGAGTAAAGAAGGTGTCTTATTAGATACCATTTATTTATTCGAGATTCTACACCAGCAATAGTAATAGTAAAATTAATAGTAAGTTTGGAAAATATACCATGTTAAAGCACATTAAAAACACCAAATGTACTATTTATTCAAAGTCTATACATTAAGTGCCTTACTTGCAAATCTCAATGCGGTTTAATATCCTGCATGCAATATGTAAAGTGGTTTAATTGGCCTTGGGATCAATGTCACAGACTAGACTTTGTATGTGAAATTAGTTCCTATCTCTCATGAATACATGGGAAGGCATTACAACAGCTGGTAACTCTATTGAAATTAAATCTAGCCCAGCATGCGGGCAAACTGTTGGGAAAGTGCCATCCATCTTCTCTCTGAATCTCAGTTACAGTACTTCTGCTGTTTGAATCTCAATTGTCCCTTCAGTCTTCTGTTACCAAATGTCAGATGAGGCAACACTAACCTTGAAGCTTGGCTGAAATTAAAAGTTGCGAGCTTGTCAAAATATAATGCATTCTAAATTATCCAAACCATGTGGGAGACGCAGCATTAGTTTGAATATTTGAGAGGCTGTTTTCCATTTAGCATTACCAAATGATGTTTATAGAGCGATATTATACTCCTTCACAATGTTATTACTCTAGGCCTATCATAAAATAATTAAGTAATAATGAATAACCAGATGTACATCACTGGTGGGTAATTGAGGATAGGAGGTCAATCGCAAGGTTGACAGTGATTCTGAATCTCCAAACCCTCCCCCTTCCCTCTCCACACCCACTCACAGTGGAGCTGGAATCCTTTCTCAATCACAATTTCAGGCACTGCTTGATCCACCACCTTGTTTGTTCTGGTCCTTTGCACCTTTTGAAAACAATTACTGCCTGACTTTGCAGTAACCGAGAGCTCTGCGAAGAGCTGATGTAAAATGGATGACTGGATGAAATCCCGTTATATATTCTCACAAGGGCATCTTTGGTCCTACAGTGCTTTTTCAACAACTTGCATTTATATAGGGCCCTTCACGCGGGCTAGTGTCTTGGAGCACTTAACAATGGTGTAGTTTGATTTTGAGCTGGGGAGAAAAGGTAAGCAACAATAGGCACGGTTGAGGAAGAAAGTCTTCAGGTGTGATCTGAAGACGGGCAAAGAGACCAAGAGAGTAGCTAAAAAGAAGTGGGGTTCACCTACAGTCAGTACACTTCACAGTCTATTCTGTGAATTACTTTGAAATGTCCTCCCAATGTGAAAGGTGCTGTATCAAATGTAAAGCTTATTATTATTATTTCATAGATTGTCAGAAAGAGTCAAAGTATCCTCCTCAATGACTATTGGAAAAAAAATACTGGCTGGCAGTTTCAAATTAACACAAGGTTTTGCTGCATCACCGAATCAATGGATACCTTTTGCATATTTTCCTCCCCACATCCTACTTGGAAAATAACCTCATAAAACACTTGGCAGGCATAAACCGCATGAAATCAATCCTTTTCTCGTGCAGTTTGATGGACTCAGCCAGAAGCAAGAGATATTTAAGCAAGTCATTCTAAAACTGCAGCTATGCTAAGTCTCCAAATATACCCATACCGTCACAGCATAAAAAAATAATTCTTTGGACAGATGCGTTTGAGACGTGCAACAAACTTTTACGTCCTATCTGAGGAACATCTCCACCAAAGAATTGCTTTTGACACTCGAATGTTTGAAATCCAATGTCCAGTTACCATATCTATAATGCATAGCATTGGTGCTGTATTCAATTCTCTCAGTAATTCTCATTGCAGCTCCCACGAGAATAATGTGATTTTAAAATAAAGATCTCTTAGCAATGTAATACTTCAAGGAGCTGTGAATGTATTATTTCCTTCAAATGTTACTTTAACGTGGCAGAGTTTTAGGGGCAAAGTCCTCTAAAACTCTGGGGTTTCAAGAGGGAAGTAGATGGACATGAAGGATAGAGGCTTGAAGGGGTATGGGGATAAGGCAGGGAAGTGGGATTGAACGAACACCTTGTTCTGAGAGCTGGTGCAGGCTTGATGGTCTGATTGGCCTCCTTCTTTGCTGTAAATTTCTATGGTTCTAAAGTATCACTGCTCAAGGGTACAACTTTTATATCAGTGGCGAGCTTTCATCCATTCTGCCCCAGTGTCTGAAACTCCATCTGTCTTGCCTCCTCCCTCTCCACCTTTAAAACCCACCCTAAGACCTATCTTTTGAGCTGCGCTTTAGTCACCTTCTTCTCTCTCTTCAGCATCCCCAAGCTCGGCTCCCAATCAGTTGCATGAAGCACTTTGAATTGTCCTCCTGATGTGAAAGGTGCTATGTAAATGTTAATTATTTTAAAGCAGCATCTCAGTGGTCTTTATATCATCACTGTACTGCAGACTGCCTAGGAAGCAGGGTCATGCTTCAAGTGGGCAAGATTGCACTGTTAAAGTCTTTAATCACGGATGTTTCCACTCAAATGACAGGGAATTGGGAATGAAAGATTCAACGACTGCTTTGATTATTTGACAAAATGCTGGTTATATTAACAATATTGTCAAGTCTGCATAGATAGAACTTTAATATTTCAGGGAAATGCAATTAAAGGTACAAACTTATTTATTTGGAGCTCCAAAATTAATGTTTCCACTATTCCCCAATAGTTAACATTTATTAGTTTAGTTCAACAGCCGTATATTGCAAATACCTCCAAATATTCACCCACAAAATAAACACAGTAAATAAGCTTTTCAGTGTATCATGCAAAGTGCTTTGAGACATCTTGGCCACGTGATAAGATGCTAATTGAAGTGCAAAGTTAAAGCATATTATTCAATAGCACTAAGAGAGCATTCAGATGCTGAGACTTACTGTGGTGTTGGCCCTGTACCAAATTGAGAGGGGAGAATTTTTACAGTGCATTGCATTGCTGAACACTGTATGAATTGTTTTAAATTGCTTGAATTAGAATCTCATTAAGTTTTATGTAATATCCTAATTACTTCATTCCCCAGGCTACATTTACTCTCTTTTTTTTTCTCTATTTTGATGTAAATTCCCAGTTAAATCATCTTAATCCGGAAAAATCAACACACGAATGCCACCAGTGTTTAGACATCACTGGTATTCAGTTTGCTTTTGCAGTTGGAACCTGGGGAGGCTGCAACCTCTACATGTTCTTATCAAACTACAGCAAGTAGCATACCCTTAGGCTGGCAGGAGCTACACACTATGCCAGGAGGTCAAAATGAAAAGTCTGTACTAATATAATGATATGTCACTTTACTTGCTTCAAAATCAGAGTGAAGAATAGGGGTATTTTTCAATCTAGAGTCCCAAAGCAGTAAGCGGCTCATATCTTCCCTCATCCCCACAGGTAGAAATGCTCTTGACTTTTAACTGGTGAAGCTGATCACACGCAAAGTGTCTGTAGCACTGTGTCAGGCCTCCGTGACCAAATCAATTTTAGTGACAACTGAGGCACAATAATTTGCCCTGCTGGGTGCACAGTTGGTAGAGCTGATGAACTTCTCTTCTCCAGCAGAAATAGATTATCTCTGAGGACGAGCGAGCTATGTTTTGATTATAATTTGACCCCTGAATGACTGTTAAACTGAAGTGATGAGCAAACACTGCAGGGGATACCAGTAGCTTTGGCAAAGATTACGTGCATTCCTTCAGGACACTGAACATGATGCAGTTTATCTTAAATAGAACTGATAAATATACATTTTACTATGGAGACCTGGATGATCGGGGTGTGCACAATGACATTTACATTTCTAAAGAAATACAAAATGCGTGTAGAAAACCGACCTTTTTTTTTCAAATGCTTTGGCGCATTTCAAAATGTCGGCCAGCTTCCTGTGTGCTAAACAATGGCTGACTTCAGGATCATCAGGTCACCGCTGAAATCACTTCCTGTGCGCAATGAATGCCACAACGAAAGTGACATCGGCAGTGAACTGATGACCTTGAACTTGGACATCGTGGAAGTGTATGCAGTGAATGTGGAAGCACTGACTGATAAACATGCCAAGTTATAAAAATGGATTGGGAATTTATGGACTTCCCATTTACTTTTACATTTACATCTGAAATGCTGTACACTGTCCAGCACCTTGGGAAGTCCTCCCGATGTGAAAGGCGCTATACAAATATAATCTTGTTGTTGTTATACTGCGGTTCAACTCTACCATCTTTATGTCACACATTTTAGAAGACAGTGCAATTACATTGGGAAAAAATAGAGAATTGTGAGGAAATACTATTCTTAAGAACCTTAGAAATATTGCTGTGTATGGTGTGAATTTTTTTATTGAAAAAAATACATGAGCAAAAAAAATGCTCATTTAAGTCCAGTCCATTAGTGCTCCAAGTCTCTGCAGCAGACTGGCTGAAAGTTTATACTCACAGTCTGCATGGTCCATTCTTGATCTCAGCTTTGCTCATTACAAAGCACATCATCTGCCTGTTTTGTCAACTGGAGTATCTTGCATATGTGTGTGTGTGTCTGTATGTATTTGTGTGTGAGCATCCATGCACAAATTCATGAGCACACACAAATACGCACACACACATGTACACGTACAAATGCAAAGTATCTTTATGTCCACCATTTATGTTCCAAACTCCAGCTCTTGTTTCTATCTTGTTGTCAATCACCTCAATGAGAAGAGTCAGTCCAATTGCTCTCAGTGTTGAATGCTTTGAGTACTTGTCTTTCTTTCTGGACTAAGCACACTTGCTTAAGATAACCACAGATGCCTTTGCACAGCCATAATTATGGCCAGCTTCACCTCAATAGGTTTAACAGATGCTAACAAACACTGTGCAGTCACCCAATTCTGCTGCTGAGCCATCACTGTTGTCTGTAGTCTGCTCTGAAGGGTGAAACCAAACATTGGAAGAGAAAAATAGCTTCTGGCTTGTTTCATCCAAAACAAGGATTAAATGCAATTTTATGGTTTCTTT